ATATAATAAATATATATTAAGTAAACCTGATTATAATAAAGCTTATATAAATAATTTACTTATTTAAAATAAAGAAGATATATAGCCTGTAATTTCTAGTAAAGAAATCTTTTATAATAAGAAGTTATAATATTATTATAAAATATATTTTATTAAATAAAGTTATTATTTATAGCCCTGCAGATATATCTTAATAATTATAATAAGTAATTAAGAAATATCTTATTTAAAATAAGTATTTTAATATAATTAATATATCTGAAGAGAAATAAATATATATCTTATTAATTAAAAATTAAAAAAATAAGATCTTTAAATCCTAAGTCTATAAGCTTAAGAAGTATAATAAGAATTATATAAATTATATGTATAATTAGCTATATAAATATAAATATTTATATTAAATAAATCAATATATTTTAATTATATTTCTTATTTTTATAGCCTGTAATGCCTGTAATCCTGTTCTTAATAATTTAATAATAAATTCTAGTTATCTAGTAGTTAATTTATAAGTAATAAATTATATTATTTAGCTAAATATATATCCTTTATATACTTAGAATAAAATTATCTAGTATATATATAAAAAATAATTTATTATAATTATTAATATTATTAAGTTTTTTTTTTTTAATAATAGATCTACTTATAAGATTAAAATAAGATTATTATTATATCTTATAAAGACTAGGAATCTTTTAATATTATATTTATAAGATTTATTAACTTTATATTTTATATATAATATTAAATAAAGAATATATTATAAAAGCACAAGTAATACTATATAATTTATATTAATAATATAATAATTATATTTAAGATCTTAAAGAAGTACTTATAATATTTATATATTATATTTAAGACTCTTACTAATTATGATATATTAGTTAATCTTAAAAAATCTTATATTAGTTTTCTTTTAATTTAATTACTAGAATAATATATTAATACTTATAATCTCTTTATAATAAAGAAATATCTTAAAATTATTTAAGTATTAAAATTCTTAGATACCCTGAGATCTTTAAAATAATATTTTAATATTATTAGTTATATATAATAATAAATTAAGTATTATATATAAAAAAAGTTCTTATTATAGAATATCAAGACTAAATTATTAAAAAATATTTTTAATTAAGAATAAGTATACAAGACCTGGATATAAAAATAATAATATTAAATTATTTAGAGATATATATAGTATAGGAAACTTTATAATATAAATTTTAATAAAAACTATTTTATTATTATTATAATCTTAAATAATAATTATATATAGATCTTAATATATTTAAGAATACTAGTCTTATTATTATATAAATTCTTTAGTATTATTATTATAAATTATAAATTATTTAATTCTTTTTCTTAGCTATTTCTTGACTTTTATAAAATCTTATTACTAGTTAATAGAATTTAAGTTATTAATACTTATCTAAATATTATAAAAAGTATAATATCTTATAAAATCTACTTATAATCCTTTTATTATATATATAAATTATTAATTAATTATTAATATTATAAAGTAATAATTACTTAAAATAGTCTCTTTAGTTAAGCTAAATCTCTAGATAATATAAGTATTTATTTATATCTAGTAATTTAGAATCTATATCTTTTATTAATTTAAAAAAAATAATATAATTACTAATATATTATTTTACTTATCTTATTATTAATCTAGGCTAATAATATTCTTTATATTTAGCTTAAACTTAATAAATAATATAATAAATAATCAAGAAAAGTCTTATCCAGAGAATCTTAAAATAAAAATATTAATTATAATTAATAAATTATTATTTATTTTTTATATTATAGAAGTCCTTTATATAATATTTATTTTTATTATATTTATAATCTACTTATTAAATAAGTTTAAGAACTACTTATAATAAGCTTATTAAAAAAATATTTATTTTTATATAATTTTTTAATATATAAAGTAATTATCTAGGATTTTATACAAGATTAAAGATAGTATATTATTTATATATTATAATCTTATAAATAATTATAAAGATTACTAGTTATATATTTCTTAATCTATATAAAAAGAGATATTCTAGTTTATTTATAATAATTAAAGATATCTAGAATATAATTATAGTATAATTATTATAAAAAAATATATAATATATAAGAAGATTTATTACTTTAAGAAGTATATTACTTATTATTCTTAATATCTTAAGAATTATATTTATTATTATTACTTTTATAATATATTATAACTTATCTTAGTAATAATAATTCTCTTTTATATTATTATAATAAACTTTATAATTAGTCTTCCTATTAATTAATAAAATTATAATAAGATTATAATATAGATAAATAAGATAACTAAAATAATAAGTATAATATTTAATAAGAATATTAAATAATCAAGACTAGATATAAGTTTATTTATATTTCTAGATAATAGTAGACTAGAATATACTAGTATTTATTATATTTAATAAAAATTTATTATTTCTTACTAACTTCTAGTAAATAATTTTTTATAATTTATATATATAATTATAATATTTTATTATATAATCCTCATAGTCTAATAGACAGACTAAATATATAATTTAGATTATTAAGATTATAATAATATATTTAATTCTAGTAAATTCTTAAATAAATATTAAGAATCTATATCTCTTATTTTAGTTATATTTAAACTTAATAAAAAACTTAATTATAAAAATAACTTTATATAAGACTCTTTACAAGTTCTTTTATATTATACTAATTTATATTAAATTATTAAGTATAATTTTTTATTATAATAAGATATAAAGAAAACCCTCTAATTTATAAAAGTCTAAATAAAAAAATATTATAATTATTATTATATATCTATATTTTTTGAATCTAGTAATAAGATCTATTTATATCTTAAAACAGGATATAATATTTTTATAAATTAAAATCTTTTTTAAAAGCTAGATTAATATTATACTAGCTTATTTATTATTCTAGAAAATATTAATAAAAATATTTATTAACTAGATTTATTATTAAATATTATTTATCTAGTAATTAATATTATATTTCTTAAGCCTGTCTCTAATAGTCTAAATTTATATAATTATTATTATATTATACTAGTCTTAGTATAGGATATAGAGTTTTCTAATAATAATAATTATTAAAGATTAAATAATTACTTTACTATTATATCTAATATATAGATTATAATTAAACTCTTTATACTAAGTACCTAGTAAGATAAAAAGAATATAATTCTTAATATAATATCTAGAAATAAAAGAATAGTTTATAATAAAAAGCTAGTAAACTTATTATATATATTTTTAGCTTTAGCTAAAATTCCCTGCTATTTATATTATTATATATAATTAGTATTATAAATAATATCTTTTAATATTTTTCTTATTTATTATTATTTAATAATTCTACTAGTAGCTACCTAGAGTAGTTAGCTTATTAATAAGGTAGGACTTAGCCCCTGCTTATCTAATCAGGACTAGCCTGTGTTATACTTTTATAGCCTACAGACTAAGAATAGAAGATCATCTTCTTCCCTAACAAACTAAGTCCTATCATGACACTTCTAATTTCTTAATCTACTTATTTCTTATATTTTATTTATAAATTATAAAAGTATTCTTATAATAATTGTTACGGAAACCCAACAAGGTTAATACCCCACAAAGGCAGCACAGCCAGGCAGAAGCCCAATACTAATTAATTAATAAAGGATTAGGATCCTTGTACAAAAGAAACTAAAGAATTACATGACCTAATTACCTACCCCTTATATAAAGCATGGAGTAGCTATAAGATCTAATCACCTACTTTTAATCTATCTCAAGGAGTAGCTATAAAGTAGTTATATCAAGATCTTATATTATTAGCTCCTACTCCTATAAATACCCCTAAAGTATATATAAAGTATATAAATATAAAGAATATATAAGAATATTTATTTACCTGTATCTATAGTTTAGTTAGTTATATTTAATAATAGTTTCAAGTCTGAGTATATATTTAGTCTAGTTTCTACTTATCTATACTTAACCTAAGTATTAAGTATATATACTTAATATACCTTACTTCTCTTCTTGCTTATTAGTTATCTCTAGACTATTAATTCACCTTATTAATTAATATAATTAATACAGCTACTACATAAGGCCTTGGGTTAGTCTAACTTATTATTAATAGCTGCTAGAAAGACCACAGGGCGCTCTTTATCTTGAACAACCTAAGCCACCAACACTAGTACTGCAGAAGCACAAAGGGATCCTAGGGTCTTGACAATAATATATTCTAAAATATTAATAATAAGTATTTATTTCTTATTGAAATTAAAATATACTAGAATAAAAGATTTTATAAATCATTTTTTTAACTTTCTAAAAATTATTTATTATTAATAATAATAATAAAATTAATAAAGAAGATAAAGATAGTGTCTTATTCTTAGTTTATAGGCTACCAAAATAATATAATATAAGCTAGTCCTAATTAGGGGGGCAAAAGGGCTAAGCCCTACCTCATCAACAGTCTGACCGTTGGTTGGCAGAACTCCAAGGTGGTAACAATAAATCTAATTCTTAGACCTGAATCTATTCTAAAGAGTAAAGATAGTTTAGAGCAGATCTGGATCTAGATCAGAACAGATCCTTTTGAGGTCTGGTTCTATATCATTTTTGAAAATAATAATTTATTTATTATATATTTAATTAGAAGATATGTAAAAAGATCAAAAAGTATCAATATATGTTTAGTTCCTAGTTAAGAACAGCCTAGTAACTTAAAGTTTCTTCTTGATTAGGATTAGTTAGCCAGCTAATATACTAAAAATAACCCCATGCTCTAGTTAGGGTGGGCGGCTTGATCGGGAAATATACTATCACAGCTCTAGTGCTGCCTGAGGCTGCAGCTTAATACAAAACCCCTTTGATGCGTGTGATATGTTAGGATGCTGTTTTCTTTGATCTTTAACTCAATCAAACAAAATCATACTAAAACAATCAAAAATACCTAAATAGGAAGAACGTAAAATGGATTCATCTTCTAATCCAGTTGTTTTCTTCGATATAGCATTAGGTGGTAAGTCCAAAAACATTCCACATTGATTCAACAAAGTTTCAGAGCCTAGCTTGAGGTGATTGCCGTGCATGGCAGTGCTATCATACAGGGAATCATACTCAGTATCATAATCAGATCGATGGTCTAAGCTGACACATCTATTGCCAGGGGAGCCTCTTGGGCGCGTGAAGATAGAACTTTTTGCAGATGTAACTCCGCGAACCGCAGAGAATTTCCGTCAATTCTGCACAGGGGAAAGTAAAAACTCCCAGGGACGACCGCAAGGATATAAGAATAGCAAGTTCCACCGCGTGGTATGTACAGACTGATGGTTCCTAACATGAATAAGATGACTTATTCAAATCAAAAGATCAAGGATTTCATGATCCAGGGAGGTGACTTCATCAATGGGGATGGCACAGGATCCTGTTCTATCTATGGACTCTCAAAATTCCCCGATGAAAATTTCGCTCTAAGGCATGATCGTCCTGGTCTCCTAAGCATGGCAGTGAGTATCAACCCGTGTTCAATTGATTCGGTTGATAGATCAAGAAAACTACGAAAAAACTAACACATATAGAATTCCGGGCCCAATACAAATGGCTGCCAGTTTTTTATAACAACTGTAGCAACACCATTCTTGAACAATAAACACGTGGTTTTTGGCCAGGTGGTCAGTGGAATGGAAACTGTTAAGATGATTGAGAATACTCGAACTACCAGGGACAAGCCGAATCAGGATGTGGTGATTGTACAATGTGGAGAGATGTGAACCCAGTAAATTTACGTGTAGACATAGCTCCAAACAAACAAAAGAAAACAATAGAAAACACAAGCGAGGTCGGGCCTTTGTCTGAGATTGTACCAAACCCCATGAAACATTTATTTCATTAGACCATATACCGACGCACAAGGACTAGATCTTGAATTTACCAAGATACTCGGTCGCCAGTGAAATGGCCTCCTCAACTTGGACGGGATTGTTGCCGTTTCCAATGCAAGTGGCTCCTTTACCCCCCGCCTTGCCTCCGACTGCGCTGGAAACAACGGCCGCCCAGTCATTCGCTGTAGCTCCCTGGTCCGAAAAAGCCTATATTCAACAGATGTGTTAACTTTCATCCTATAATGGAACTTGACAATGACAATCGAACCTTCGAAACATGGCAGCCATGTGCAACACGCCCTTGGCTAGGATCAGCGGCCAAGATATACACAGTTTTATCTTGCATCTTTGATTTGACATAGTTGAGGGTTTCGCTCAGAACCTTCGAATTGGCCGAAATCGGGAGCTCAGCAACGAGCCACGATTTCTCGGCGTTCTCTGGTGCCTGGAAGTAAGATGTCACAGTCTCGAGTGCTCTCTTGGAATCGAGTTTCTGCTGCGCTTTTTGCCCGTCAAGAATCTGCTTGTTGATAGCTGCAAAACGTTCTCGAAGTCGTGACTTGTGCACAGCAGATATCGTTAGCCGACTGAGCTCAACTTGCACCTGCTTGGCCTCCTGTTCCTTTTCTGGGCCTGGACTCATTGACTGTAGACGGTCCAACCGTTGCTCAAAGTCTTTGGCTAGTCGTTGGACTTCATGAGCGTCCTCGCCAGTGACTGCAATCATTCTGCGAATACCTTTCGCAATTCCAGCCTCCTCTATGATGACGAGGTCCTTGATATCGCCGGTTTTTTGAACGTGAGTCCCTCCACAGAACTCGATGCTGACCTCCTTCCAACGAGGATCGTTGACGTTCTTCAGAATCTCTTCCAATTCCACACCAACAGAAACAACGCGGACAGGGTCTGGGTATGTCTCTCCAAAAACAGCCCGAACGCCTGATATTTCGCGAGCAACAGCAAGGGAAACTTCCTGTGAGTAAACAGCACAATTTTGTCGTATATAGTCAGTTGAAATTGACTCAATCTTCTCCAACTCTGCATCGGTGACGGCTGCTTTGTATGAGAAGTCAAATCTTAACTTCTCTGGTGCAACAAGAGATCCTTTCTGTTCTATCCCTTCTCCAAGGACCTCTCTCAGAGCAAAGTTGAGAATGTGGGTACCCGTGTGATTATTGCGGATCGGCCAACGGCGTAGTTCGTCATACTCAGAGATAACAGTATCACCAACCGCGAAGGCGCCATACTTCATGAAGCCGGTGTGAAGGACATAGCCGGCATAGAGCTGGACGTCACCAACTTCAATTTCAGCCTTCCCATCGATAACAATTCTGCCAGTATCATTCTCTTGCCCACCTTGTTCCGCATAAAAGTTTGTACGGTCCAAGATAATACCAATTTGCTCTCCATCCGGTATTTCCTCCGTAGTTGTGTGAAACGCATTCTTATGATATAGCGCCTTGATTTGAGCAGTGATGTTTCCTCTCTCGAATTTGGCCGAGTCATCCGTTTTTGGGACGTCGTTCATATTTTCCAATTTTCCAAGATCATGAACATCCAGCTTGACTGTGCCAGTTGCGGCCCTTTTCTCGCCCTTGCTCGCCTCTTTCGCCTTGAGACGGGCTTGTTCAAACTCGAGGTCATCGATCTGCAACCCGCGCTCTTCTGCCATTATGCGAGTCAAATCAACCGGAAAGCCGAATGTATCGTAAAGTCTCCAAACATCGGCACCGTTCAGTTTGTCGCCGCCTTGGAGTTTGGCCTGCTGCGCGTATGTTTCAAACTGCCTTTCGCCGCGATCGAGAGTCTTCGCAAAAGAAATCTCTTCTTCGTCAAGTATTTCCTTGACATCATTTTGTTTCAGCACCAATTCCGGGAACATGTCTCCAAGTTGATCAACAACGGTTGGAACAAGTTTGGAGAAAAAGCCCCCAATCTCGACCCCGAAATATTTGCGTGCGTAACGAGCACCTCTGCGCAATACTCTCCGCACGACGTATCCCCGCCCTTCGTTATTGGGAATCACGTCATCCGAAATTGCGAACATTAGTGTTCGAACATGATCAGCCACAACCCGGTAAGCAGTGTCAACACCGTCGGAATCATCATTCCCAAATAGTCCTTGATATTCTCGGGCGCCAGTTGCGATTCTGATAGCTTCAAAAAGTGGCGTAAAGACATCGGTGTCGTAATTCGAAGGTTTATTTTGCAAGATCGAAACCAGCCTTTCGAAACCCATGCCCGTGTCGACATGCTTGCTTGGCAGGGGCCTTAAGGAGCGGTCGGATTCGCGATTGTACTGAATGAAAACGTTGTTCCAAATTTCAAGAACATTGGGATCGTCCTCGTTGACAAGCTTGGCAGCATTGCGGCCACCGATCCTGTCATAATGAATCTCAGAGCAAGGGCCACAGGGACCTTGATCACCCATTTCCCAGAAATTGTCTTTCATGTTGCCTGGCAGAATGTGATCTTCTGGGACCCCGACTTCCCTCCAGATACTCTTTGCTTCCAAATCTGGCTCAAGGCCGCCCTCTTTGTCGCCTTCAAAATAAGTGACATAGAGACGCTGGGGGTCCAATCCATATACTGCGGTTAATAGCTCCCATGAGTAGCGAATCGCATCTTTCTTGAAATAATCACCGAAGCTCCAGTTGCCAAGCATTTCAAAGAATGTCTATAGTAAGGTTCATGGTCAGTGATCGCCCCCAAAGTATACTTATGAAAGCATATCCGAGTTGAACATACATGATGATAGCTATCCTTGCCCACATCGTCAAGGTCCTGATAACAAGTCAGTGCTGATCCGTAAGAAATCAACCCTGCTTTCACCTACATTATGTTTTCCGCCAGCACGGATGCACTGCGCATGTATTAGTATGGCGCGAATATTAACGTAGCGTTGAGATAAGCAAACCTTTTGGGAATTAACAGCTCTTTTCAGCTTCGCGAAATCGGAATTCGGATCCACAGTGCCTAGGAAAATAGATTTATACTGGTTCATCCCTGCATTGGTGAATAGCAAAGTGGGATCCGACAGAGGAGCAACCGAAGAAGAGGGCACTGGTAGGTGAACAACGTCAGTATGCGACCAAAACTATTGGGGGTTCAAACATGAGGAATACCGAAAGTGTGGCCATTTTTCTTGAAATAATCAAGAAAGGTGTCCCGAACATTTTTAGCAGTCCAATCTGGACTTCCTTTGGAGTCTGAAGCCATTCTGGTGTATGCTGGTACAGTGGTTGTGTGAGGGGCAGTTGGGTGCGGGGATGTGTGAAAATTGTAGGATGATCTGGGTTTTAACCTATGAGGCGATAGTAGATGAGTCAAGGCCAGTTCCCCGTCCCTCAAGACCTTGAGAGCCCGCATCAAGTCAACCAATCAAGAATGCATCCAATTCTATGTTGTTTCGTTTGCTGATAAGATAATACCAGGGCATAGATATAGTCTCCTTCCTTTTTTAAACTGAAAGATCATTCATAGGTTGAACATCGATCACCGATGCGACATGGCTGATTGCGCTCGTGTTGGGGCTGGTGTTGGCGGAGGTGCCGACAATACCGGTGCATGTCACGGGAAAAAGCGGCCAGCAAAGGACGACCCGGATGGTGACCAACCTCTTGCCAAAAGACTCAGCCGTTTACACTTAGGTGTGTGCTTGACCCTACAGTTCTTTCATATCTACATAAAATCAAAAGCATCCTTCTTATCATGTGATAGATCCTACAAACCAGAAAGTTTCCAATCAGAATGACGCTGCTCTTCCGCCCTCTCAGTCAAGACCGACCGATATGATGATGCTAGATGATACAGAGCACACCGTCTACATCCATGACTTGGACCGTGAATTGGCAGAGATCGAGTCGTCTGAGGACCCCTCTATCTTTCTTCCAGGCCTCGGGGAAAAGTTAGCAGTATTCCCAAAGTCGCTCGTTGCCCAGAGCAATCCAAAGTGCCAGGCACTGGTGCTTTATCAACAACCTACATCACCGTCAATGCCAAGGGACAAGGGCAATGCCGGGAAGGCCTTGGCCGAAACTCGAGAGCGAGCACGCAGTCTATATAACGCTTCATCTCTGGATGAGTCACAACAAGCTCACTTGAGCCATCGACAATGTGAGCAGGAGGGTATGGATGTGGATGATGATCCTTAGCAATGTATAAATATGGTGAGGTGTTGAATATATAGTTATTAATGTATAATGCCCACAATTCCTTCAAATTACTCTTGACAATCTGTTATGAGGGGTTTGAAACTTGGCATGTTTGAAGACGTTCATTGGCGTATAGAACATAGCTTGACAATATTCCAGAGTGTATTGTAAACTTTAAAACCACTACACTTGGATCCGCGTAAGTTCCTGATAAGAGATTTCTAATCAAGACCCCTAGGACGTTTCAAGACCTGTGTCTACTTTACCATCATGTAATGTGTCCAGATCATACCTGCTCATCCTTCATTACTTACGTACGTAGCAGGTACGAGTCCATCAAATGTCAGTGTGGCGTTCTGAGCGGACGGGGGAGGCTTCGGCCGTGGCGCGGGACATGCAGCCTCCATCCGGCCGGGACCAGAGGGCGGACTGCGTTCGGGCCCCCGAATGCGGCCAGCTTGGAGGATTTAGCGATGTCCACCAAGTACCACACACCGCTATGCGATCATCACGATTCCATTGAACTTTCGATGTAAACCAGAAGAGATAGGATCTTTCGGATCGATACCTGGCTGACACTTGCTACCTGTCCACTCAGATTTGTAGGTACAACGTGTTATGTCTAAAGTTAAGGCCGTACATAGGTACCCAAGGTGGCGATATCCTGGATATTTAAGGTAACTGGGCGGATATTATGCATTGACAGTTCGCTTCCATATGATTGGTTCTGGACACTGGGACATCGACCCCTATGTACCCAGAATTGGATCAGAAGTACCCACTGTGTAGTGTGTTCCTCAAATGCCCAAGTCTTGAAAACGACAATCACCTGATTGAAAAGACGCTTGATGTTTCTGAATGTTGTCTATTAGTCGGGGGGTACTTGCTACTATTATGTTGCACACACCCATTTCCTCATCGTGATCTGAATAAGATGCCTGACGCAACCGACACAGTAATATCGAGAACTTCCAGCAAAATCATACCCGAGCTATTGGAGATATCTTCTTGCGGCTCCGTTGACACGCAGTCAAAACCAAATGCACCGAGAATTGAAACATGCCCCAATAACGACAGAAAACCCTTTTTATCGAACAGCCAGGATACAGTATACTCCACGCTGGATTCGAAGACACCCGTACAACATACCGGGAAAAGCCAGTCTAAATCGACATACCCCGCAACAGATAAGCATGAAGAGCAGAGAAATTCGGTCCCAAATGAAGATCAACCTCAAATTGGTTCAAGAGCGCGCACTCTCCATCCGGTGATAATCAATAATCCTATGGAATTTCGCACGAGTGAACCTTCACCTCAGCTCATGGAGTCTGCGAAACAGTCACCTCGCAAGGAGCAGTCGAATGCTTCCCATATCGAGTACTCGCTAAATGCTCAAACAGCCGGGCGCCATTGTGACAGAAAACAGTCATTTTGTGTCTCTGGGTTGCCCGAAACCTCGTCCAGTTGCATTACGGACTCTGGTGACTCGGGATTCCTGGTTCCAACGCCTTCCCACTCCCTCGGGCACCCAGCGCACGACCGAACACGCCATGATTGTCGACAATTCTCGGGTTGTCCCATCTCTCTGGCTGCTTCCTCTGCAGATAGCCATATCAATGGCCAAACTCTGGCGGCCTTCCCCCATGAACAAGTTTACCAAGCTGTAGATGACTTTGCTATCGGCAAAGAAGGGGGGCTGCCTGACAATGATTCGGATTGTCGTTTGGTAAAACCGGCTTGGTCAAGCGAATACAGACATGCATCATCTGCGGATCTCCAGTGGGAAATTGACGACTTACGCCCCCACGAAGAAGAAGCCCAAACAAGAGAACGTGTCATGACCGGAACCAAGGGCTCCCGCCTTGTACCTGCCACTGCTGAGTCTACTGAAGCTGATCGAGCATCAGCTCCAAACATAGACCAACGAAGTTGCGAGACCACGGAAGTAAAACACATCATAATTCCGCCAATGCTAGGAAACGATCTTGTTTTCCCCCGGAGCGTGTCGCCCGAGTCGACATTATATGAAAGTAATAGGCCACCTAGAGGTGGTCACCTGTCCCGAGTAAAATCAAGCAACGACTGTGGACTTTGGTGTATGGACTCTTGTCCCAAGGACAGCAGTGCCGACAAGGGTCTTTGGATGGGGACGTGTAAGGCTGAGCAGCAGAAACACGATCTTCATGACTCTTTTCTACCAGGCTGTTTAAGCCACCACGACGTTGCTAAAGGGTCATGGTCACTGTCGGATGAAGATTCATCAACCAGAGATGAGTCCCGACATCCGGCCAGCGGCCCTGGCGAAGCCGAGGTTGTTGATGATGTGGAACGGGGGCTTAATTGGCACGAAGGCCCCAATTACGAATGTAATGATGAGTTTGTTACTCAGATTTATAATTACTTATCATTAGGATATCCCTGTGTCGCTCGTTATTATGATCATGAGCTCGGTGAAGTTTCCGGGATCTGCTTGGCAGAACTCCGGCAGGATGATCTGAATACGGACGCGAATGGCTATGTCGGGGTGGCTCAAAGTACTCCGGATGATACGGAGCCAGGAACGCGAGCTTGTATACGTTGGATAGCACTACGCCTATATATAAATGAATGGGCTAGGCAACAATCCAGGATGGCTAACAACAGTAACAACCGCGGTACTTGGGGCGTGCAGGAGCGAAGGGAAAGCTTGATGTTATAACATATTTAATAAAGTTAAACCAATAATAGAATAAGATATTCTGCAAAATCATCAGGTAATTATAAAAACCTTGGTGTTAGTCACCATGTATTTGGCATTCAAGCAACTGCTGTGGTTTGTTTGTTCCCGTGGCCTCGAAAAGTAACTTGGAGACTTTTATTCCATGCATGCATGCCCTTGAGATAAACCACTTGGGTGCTGACTTGCTGGCCTTTTTTCCACGATCAAAGATGAAAATTTCAACGCAAAGAGTGCTAATCATATGGGACATCATCCAGTATATGGTTGGTTATCAGAGGCAATTAAATCTCATTGAGTAGGCACTTATATCTGTCCTGTTCACATAGTCCGTAAGAGAGCAATGGCTGGTAAGAAACAATCACCATTCGCTATTGGATGTTTTTCGCCTGCTCTGATTTTGACCCTTGTCAACATTCAGAATTCCACCCTGGTGGAGATTCACGAGACATCACCCGGCATTTCGCCATGGTCAGATATTCCATGCTCTTGATCATTCTCAGCTGAATTCTGCGTTGGAATATTGGTCCTCTGGGCCCTTTCATGGACGATTCCAGGAAAGATCGTTTGTTCCGGAAGATCATCGGGTCTGGCTACAGTTGCACCCACAGAACTAGTACCGCTGATCGAAGGAGCAAATTCTCCAAGCAAAGCACTCGGGGGGAGAGGATTTGAACTAGGACTTATGCCACATTCTCCCGCTTTGCCTTGCACTTTCGGCCCGGTGGAAGGCATCACTTTGGGCTCAGGAGAGTTCGGTGGGTAATCTACCACTTGATTGGCCCCCTTGGACACAGCTGTTGTGGGTTATTGAATGATCTCGCAGAGGAATGTGGGAAACCAACCGTGATTTACATCGGTGCCCTTATGTGAGGTCGGGGATGAAGGTGTAAACTTGACCTCGTTGTCTATACTCTGTTGTTTTGCTGGGGTGGTAATTTCGCCGGACATGCGAGTGTAATACCGGCCGATCCTAAAACTCAATTAGCTGCCGCCTTTTAACCCCGATGGGGAACTTGTATAATTTGGGAAATCCATTGTCTTCTTCCCCCCTGTTTTGGACGCCCATGGTGAGGGTAGTCTTAAATGCCGGTGTATAATGGGTGGGGTGTGAAGATTCTTACAGTTTCAACTCTTGGAGTAGTGTTTCGTGACGGAATTCTTCTCGAATGTCAGGGACATTGCTTTTTGCAACATTATTTCCTGCAACACCTGGAAGGTGACAGTTTGAACCAAGCCACCTCTTTTTCAAAGGAAGTTCAAATCCACTCTGTTCAACAGAATGCTTCGCGAGCTCACACATATCCACAGCACTGAACTTGTAGATCTGGGCAGCAACTGAGTACTCTTCGATCAACGGTTCTTTGGTGAATGCGAATTGCAATGGATCATCAGTGGATAAAGATATGTTCAGGCCCCTCCTGAAGAAGCTTGCACATGGGTTCTTGTCATAAGTTAGGAAGAGCGCATTGTTACTCAATGGTGACATGGCAACTCCAATTTGGTCAAGATAGTAAAGATACTGCAACAAAGGAACCTTCCTGAGAAGGATCCCGTGGCTGATACTATGACAACAGAGAAACCCAACTGCGAGGTGGTCAGGGTCTCCTGCTTCACCGCAATGTGGCCGTAGAACGAACGTATTGAATCCACGTTGCTTGCGCCATATATTGAGGGACGCGATATTTGCGAACATGAAGTAGAGCCAATAGGTGTATGGCGGATTTTGTTTCGTATTCCATTCTTTAGGGATGGGGTACTTCCTGTACAGTCGTCGCTCTGCTTTGCTCTCGTCGTCGACACTGTCAAATCCAACAACGCGTTGCAGGAAAATGTGAAGTTTCGGATGACTCGACGGGTTCTCGGTGACCTCGAATAGTGGCTTGAAAACATTTGTGATTACCTGCTCGTAATTTTCCATCATGCCACTCGACTTATAAACGTCATAAAGCCGAGGCACTTGGATTAACCAACGAACATTAGGCGAGAACAACTTATTATCCACAACCCAGGCGGCAAGTTTGTCCCATTCTTCAATGGACCTGCCGTATATAGAAATGCGCCATTCTACCATTTGATACTTGCTAGACTCTAAGTCTGACATGACTTCCTTGGTAATCTCCGCCAAATAGCGTCCTTTGATATAATTGTCAGTTTTCAGAAATATCTCACGCAGTCGAGATTCTCCGACAGGGTTATATTTGAGGTTAAACTTGTCGAACCGATGGAATGAATCCGTGTGTGCCTGTTATCGGAATTAGCTGGGGCGAAGGCAGTTGGAAAATGTTTGTAGACATACATGCATGTCAAGAGTATCAATACTCAGGTCATAAGCCGTCAGGTTAATACTTTCAAAAACCTCCTTCAGGGTTAGATGTTTCCCATCCCTGAACAACACCACCTCATCTGGAGACTTCTTCATCTTGCTTTTTATGAATCGAAGCAAATGTTTTTGGTTCATGCATGCTGAATGATGAACGTGAGTGTCAACTTTGCGAACATTGTAGAAGTCTCTGTGAGGGACTTTCTTGCTGTCTGCCATCTCCTGGTACTCATTTAGCAAGGTGTGCAGTTGGAACTTGCCCTCCAAATACGAAAGCCGTTTAAATGCAAAGCTTTTTGCGGGACCGTCGGTGGAGATGTCGATTACTGCATCAAGGTCCATGTAGAAATCCCGCAAAGATGGTATTGGGACGACTGGTCGATTGCGGCCAGCAGCATCGTTGTTCTCATACACTTGGTACACACTATTGTGATCTAGCTTGTAAACCCAGCTAGACTCAGTCGGAAGAGGGAAGCACTCTGCCATGTCGAAGTCTTCACCAATGTTTTGTCCCATTTTCCTCTGTTTCTGCTCCGTAGGCTGATAGTCATTCGTTTTCCCGGGTTCTTTACCCCCGTCCCATGCCGGTTCCGGGGGAGGTGGATAGATTTTCCATGCGAGATTATCCTTTGGGTTGTCTTCGGGGCCCTGAAGTGATAACCCGATGTACTTTGATCGTCGATCAAGCAACCCCCACAATTTGCGGCAGATGACGTTCAACTCAGAAGCAACCGGATTTCCATCGGCTGCAACCTGCGCTGCTCCTTGGTGATTGCCTAGTTGGTCAGCTGGAAAATGTGCTTTAGAAGCATCTTCATCCCCACTGCCAGCTTCAGAGTCATCCCCATGACTGTCGAAAGTTTTCAGAGGCGCCTCATGGGAGGAGCCAATACTGCCAGGTTGGATTATTGGTACAGTGACATTTTCGCTAATCAGTGGTTGGCCTGTGATGCTACTTGGTGTAGTGTTGCTAGCTCTTCGGTTTCCGTCGTCTTTGACTTCATTTGCGAATCCTGCATCACTTGGCGTACTAACAATATTTGAAGTAGATTGATGATTTTTGGTTGCATTGCTTGGAGATCGGTCACCTTCAGGCCCTCTCGACATCAGTTGATGATGCCGATAGAAGAGTTTAGCTTCAGTATGGCTCATGGACTTCTCATACGCATAATCGTAGGTTGGTGTTTTCTGCTGCATATCCCTTGGTAGAACGTCCTTAAGGGAATCCGCTTCGGAAGCAGGCTCAGAATCTCTGGGTGTTGCTGGATCTATCATATCATCATCATTGGACATCATCCTTTGCGCGTCCATATCTGTGTAATGGACTCCCGGAGAATACTCATTCTCCGATAGGGTTGGAGGTGCATTGACGATATCGGGTCCGGGTTTGGGCTCTAAATCGGCTTGCGCAAAAGACATCTTATGACCGAGCCCGTATTGCACGTGCAATTCAGTGAGTGGTTATAGAAGTCAATACCCCAGTCCTTTTTACTTCTTCTCTTGTTTTCAATCGAAATCCCAAGTGTTCACCACAGAGTACCCTTGTTCCAGTTCCAACTGACGGTGTCTCAGAGTCGAGATTCGTCACGGGACAAGGAATTCTGCCACCGCCCACTAACTAGTTGATCTCATGCGGGGCTCAATGCGGGACCTTCAGACTTACCAGCGTGTAACATGTAATATTACCTTACTTACCACTGCCACCTAGTTGTTATTTTTTTTATTGTACGTACAGAGTAACAGGCTTATCCTGAGACCCGCTGTGGAAAACAAGTCCCACCTGTACTGAGTACTTACAAGTACTTACTGCTAAGAGGTGGTCAGGTAGCACCCTTTCCCCTAGCGCTGGAGAGTAGGGGATAGGAGCCGCCTCATGCTATTTAGAGGTAAGGAGCACCTATTGTTCCGGATTCCGACACACGGATTGTGACGTACCAGTAACCCAGCTCCTATACAATTGTCCATCTTTCAGAAGTACCAACCTCAGACAGATCTAGTATCTCCTCGAGGAATCTTTTTTCTTAGAAACTTCCACGCAGCAGAGATATTTATCTCATTTGTTCGCCATAAGGTCCGAGTTGTGCTCCATCCGGACACCTGTCTACTTGATTTAAGGAGACGAGCGCCACAAACAGGCTTCCTTACCTCATACCTCCATTTCCCCAAACACAAACTTCCCATTAATCGGCAAGGCTTTTCCAAGTTATTCATAAGAAAAGGAACATTTGGAAATCTGAACCCGGACAATGGCAACCATCAATTTGTCATCCAATGGTCCTTCCATATCGAAGAGCTATCAGAATGTGGTCAACGCGGCCCCTAAAGCTGGAGGCTCCCCTACCCATGGACAATGGGCGGTGTTTTCTGTCTCGACACCTCTCGTAAATGCATTTCAACGAGATGCCGGCAACAAAGAAAGTGTTCTCAAGGTTCAAAGCACAGGAGGTCAGTCCATAAACTCGCATTGTTCCCATCAGTTGTCAATCCCCAAAACGACGCCTACAGAACAGAGTACCAAATGCCGATGCTGACAAATTGTATCAAAGAGGGCGAACTTGCGGATCTTGTGGATGAGTTCTCTGAGGGTAAAGTCCAATTTGCATTTGTGAAGGTCATAGACCCAAATTCTGGGCTACCCAAGAATGTTCTTATCGCATGGTGTGGGGAGGGGGTACCCGAGCGGACGAAGGGGTACTTTACGAGTCACCTTGCTGCTGTATCGAAGTTTTTACATGTGAGATCACCCCTTGCACTTCGATTGGGACCATTTTGCTGATGTCTGTACACTAATCTCCAGGGTTATCACGTTCAAATAACGGCACGCTCCGATGGTGATCTGACCCCCGAGGGTATAATCCAGAAGGTTGGAGATGCATCTGGGGCGAAGTACACATCGGCAACAGATCAGACTCCGGCCCCTGTTGCTCTCCCCACGGCTCCAGCCAAGCCTGTTTTCACTCCTGCACGTACCGGCGGCCTTGAACCGAAATTTGTCGCGACTGTCCCTGAGCGCAAATTACAACGAACCAATGACGACGATGGATGGGGCGCCGATGCCCCCCCGGTCACGAGGAGTCAGCTGGAGAAGGTCCAGCCAGCATACAAACCGACTAAGGTGAACATGCAGGAGCTCAGATCAGAGCGGTCACCGGCGCCGGATGCTAGTGCTCGACCTGTTGAAGATTCCAGTGATGTCGTTAAAGGAGGTTATCAACCTGTTGGGAAGGTCGACATTGCTGCCATCAGGAGACAAGCGCTTGAAGCTGGTGGTTCCAGAGATGATAGACCGGAGCCCGTCAGAGGCTCATACGAACCGGTCGGCAAAGTCGACATTGCTGCTATCCGTTCTAAGGCACAGAAACCAACGCAATCCCCCGGAGTTCCTAATGAGAAGCCTGTGGTCTCGACTGATGCACCCGTTAAATCATCTGGGGTGTCTTCAATCCATGACCATTCGGAACGTCTGACGAGCCTGCCGAAGCCGAAAGTCGCCAAAAAATTTGGATCAAGCCCTCAATTTCCCGGCACGAAGCCACCCCTCCCTAGTGAACCTTCGTCGACCCCAACTTCTTCCACGGCAGCAATCGGCGGTGCAAGTCGTACTTTTGCTAACCAAGGAGGAAAGACACCGGCACAACTATGGGCGGAAAGAAAAGCCAGAGAGCAGGAGTCGCATCCCGGCTCTTCGTCGCCTAACCCCACAGAACCCTCAGTACAGTCTCAGGAGAGTGGCGCAGCGGGGTGGAAGAGCTCATATAGCGGTAAAAGCTGGGCGCCTGTGCAGACCACTGAGGCAGCCAAGTCTACTGGCCCTGCCGATTTCCATCAGGCCGATGATTCTACTTCAGAGGCTCCAGGATCACAAGATCCGACTGCGCCCAACACCGATACACTTCGTGGTCAGGCTACCCACGACGCGACCTTCGAAAAAGCGACCGGCAGTCCAGAAACAGGCCGTACTGCATCTCTCCCTGGCGTTCAGACAGGACCCGTACAGACAGAGGCTGAATACCCGGCAGAAGTGAGGCCTGAATCGCCAGCTCCGCCCAGCCCACCGGCGCGTGAGACTTCTCCGATCCGTATTGCAATCCCCGTCGGACAAGAACGCTCGGATACGCACGCGGAGCAAAGTGCGCCTTCTCACGCCATCGATACTCAAAGCACACCCACTCTGGATGACTCGAAACCTGATCTTCATGAGGCTGAGCAACCGCCTACTAGTGCTTTTGCCGCGGGCCATCCTCAAGAAAGTGGAATCAAGGCTCTGGTTCAATATGACTATGAAAAAGCAGAAGACAATGAGATCGAGCTTCGAGAGGGTGAGTTTGTTACAGATATCGAGATGGTCGACAAGGATTGGTGGCTGGGCACAAACTCCCGCGGCGAGAAAGGCCTGTTTCCGAGTAACTATGTCGAGCCTGTTGACGACAACGAGCACTACGCCCATCCATCGGACGCAGACGTTTCGAAACATGAAGCAACTAGCCCAGCCCCCCCGGCCGAAACACCAGTTCCCACAGCTGAGTCTCCGAGTAAGGAGCATACCGCTATTGCCCTATATGACTACGAAGCAGCGGAAGACAATGAACTCAGTTTCCCAGAAGGAGCTGAGATAACGAATATCGTACGTTGTTACCCTCACATTAACCATTTCCCTCCCACTTTGTTTTCTGTGGCCGATGCCTTCCATATAAATAGCATGTCTGACTCTTTCCAGGAATTCCCGGATAAGGACTGGTGGTTTGGTGAATACAACCACAAGAGGGGCCTTTTCCCCTCGAACTATGTGCAGTAGCAGCATGTTGAGTAGTGTCAAGTTCCTCACAGGTAGTTTTTAGTCATCAATTTGAAAAAGATTTTTGACACATTAGCATTGTGGGTGTGATCTAGAACTGGGGCTCTAGCTGAACAAGGTCATGATTTAGTCTCGTAAGATTAGGAAAATTCTATGCTCTGGTCTTGCTCAGCTTAACTAGTAATATGATTTGATTACAATCAGAAAGTAGTTATAACGGATTAGGACAATTTCTTTGTGGTAACTGCGGAAGTACCAATGAAAAGGGTCAAAATCTCAATGAATTTAAGATTCTTAGAACTATGAAGAAATTGCGAATAGTTGCAAGAAAACACGAAGAGTCAAAAAACAATATGTAGGGAAAAGCTCTGCAGGTCAGCTCATTTGTTGGCCGATTGCATGTCTCACTCTCCACACTGATCGATGATTGCACAGATAATTCAGGTGCAATATATAGTTGCAGTATGTCAGTGCTCATGGCAGCCATACAACGCAGCTGCTTCTCATCCTTTATGATTTTGTCAATCTGTTCCCCTTTTCCGGATGCGTGGAGGATCATCGCTAGCACAGCGTGGGTGTGGAGGATTGCATTTGAAGATGTGGAAAACCGAATCAATCCTCTACCATCTTGATCAGCCGCTGGCAAACGGTTTGATAGTGGTGACTCTTGGAATCTTGAAAATATTTCAAATATCCAGTCTCCTGTTCACATCAACCGTTGAATGCAAGCAAATTGTGTCGACAAGAGTGTTTAAGCAATGGCGAAAACATAGTCCTCGCATTTTTTGGGACGTTTATGTCGTCGGGTTCAAGGCGAGCAATCTGATACAGTCCAGGGAACATGGCATGAATAGTTGCCCACTTCTGAGTAATATTCCTTTCCTCTGTTTTGACAATCACGGTTTGTCGTCATACGTTGGATGAGGCTGCCATAGCTTATGCTGCAAGAATTATCACTCGGCTACAAAAGGTAATTTGACACTTTTGAGCTTCGTAGGTAACAATATCAGTGCGACGCTTTATTACGGAGTAGTATCGTCTGAATCACACCCGAGACTGAACGGAATGATGTGTACTAGCTGGGTTGGTGAGCGTAGTAGTTTGGAATTGAGTTCAGGATTTGATTCTCCCGAGGTGACATCCCAGATGCCGGTCAGTACACGTCTATATCCATCTCTCATGAAGCAGCGTCTGTAATTCTTGAGTCGATGAAGTGGGATCTCTGCGGTGGTTGTGATGAGGGAGGCATAGCAGAGAGGATGTTGATGAGACAAGAGCGAAAACCGGGGAACCGGGGAAACTCTCTGTATCGAAGGTTCCCAGCCTGGAACGGTTGGAGACCGGGAATACACTTAAAGCTCGATGACAAGCGCCAAGGCTTACATCATCACCAACCCCGTACTCACGTGACTGTAGATCGTAACTCGGGTTTCTTCAATCTCTAAACGGAGGAAGCATGTGTTCCATTCTGGCACGTCTGAGCAACATAGCCGAACAAATGAACGATCGAGGGCATACTCTCCACTTCAATATTCACTAAATTTGACAGCGTCGCTTCTGTTGTTGGAATTTCCTGTTACATGTTCGTTACCATCGCGCTTTTCGTCAATCCCTTTTGTCCTCGGCAAGGCAGCGGCCAGTCTAGAAAACTATATTTGCCTTTATAAAGCTAACTTAACCAAAGTAGCCAGAACAACATAAAGGAGTGTGGGAGTGGGACGAAAAAAGAATATAAACAAGCAAGACAACGCAGAAAAATATGGCTGCTCTTAGTGAAGATTTGCTCGTGACCGTCAACAAGTTACAAGACTTAGTCTTCAATACAATTGGGAATGACTCCCTTGATCTCCCGCAGATTGTGAGTTGTTCTTTTGTCTATACGTAATTGAAAGGATACAGTTAGAACTAACTTGACTTTTCTAGGTTGTAGTTGGCTCGCAGTCATCGGGCAAGTCGTCGGTACTTGAGAATATTGTCGGTCGAGACTTCCTTCCACGAGGAAGCGGCATTGTCACAAGGCGACCTTTAATTCTGCAGCTCATAAACGTTCCTAGTGAGCGTGAGGACAAACCCGAAGGACATGATATCCATATCCCGCACACGGCTGCCAGTGTGGCAGGACAGCATGAATGGGCAGAATTCCACCATCTCCCTGGCCGGAAATTCGAAGATTTTGCTCAAGTAAAGCAGGAGATCGAAGCTGAAACGGCAAGAATAGCCGGAAGCAACAAGGGCATCAACAGACAGCCTATAAACCTCAAGATATTTTCGCCTCATGTGTTGAACCTCACGATGGTTGACCTCCCTGGTCTAACTAAAGTTCCGATCGGAGATCAACCGTCAGATATAGAAAAGCAAACGCGCGCTCTGATTCTAGAGTATATCGCAAAACCCAACAGCATTATCCTTGCGGTCTCTCCGGCGAACGTCGATCTTGTGAACTCAGAAGCGCTGAAACTCGCTCGACAAGTGGATGCCATGGGGCGAAGGACAATCGGTGTCCTGACGAAGTTGGACCTCATGGATCACGGCACGAATGCGATGGACATCCTGTCTGGGCGTGTTTATCCATTGAAGCTGGGATTTATCGGGGTTGTCAACCGCTCCCAGCAAGACATCCAGTCTGGAAAGTCGTTGTCGGATGCCCTGCAAGCAGAAGTTGACTTCTTCCGACACCATCCTGCTTATCGAAACATGGCGACTCGCTGTGGAACCCACTTTCTGGCAAAGACCCTGAATTCCACTTTAATGTCCCACATTCGAGATCGCCTGCCGGACATCAAAGCGCGTCTTAATACCCTCATGGGCCAAACACAACAAGAACTGGCCAGCTACGGTAATAAGCAATTCAGTGGGAAGGAGCACCGCGGGTCCCTCATATTGCAGCTGATGACGCGTTTCGCTTCTTCTTTCATATCTTCGATTGACGGAACCTCATCCGAGATTTCTACGAAAGAATTATGTGGAGGGGCCAGAATCTACTACATCTTCAATTCAGTCTTCGGCAACTCCTTGGAAACAATTGACCCGACTTTCAATCTCTCCGTGGGCGATATCAGAACTGCTATCCGAAACTCGACCGGGCCCCGTCCAAGTTTATTCGTTCCAGAGCTGGCTTTCGATTTACTCGTGAAACCCCAGATCAAGATGTTGGAGTCTCCTAGTCAGAGATGCGTTGAACTTGTGTATGAAGAGCTCATCAAAATATGCCATACCTGTGGATCTCAAGAACTTTTGCGTTTCCCTCGTCTTCAAGGGAAACTCATCGAAGTGGTGTCAGACCTTCTCCGTGAGCGTTTGGGCCCTTGCTCAACATACGTCGAGTCATTGATCTCAATTCAAAGAGCATATATAAATACTAACCACCCTAATTTCCTTGGGGCAGCAGCAGCGATGTCTTCTATCATTCAGAACAAGCAGGACCAGGAAAGGAAGGCTGCGCTTGCAGAGGACAGGAAAAAGCGCGAGAAAAGACGCCTTAAAGAAATCGGCGGTGTCAATGGCAATCAAGCAGGTTCCCCTGAGGACGAGGGTGAATATCAACAGTCCGAACAAAAGGCGCAAAATATACCTTTCCGAGGACAGTCCGCAAAGGGAGCCCGGAGTATGTCCCCCCACATTGGTAAGGGGCAAGAAAGTGGAATTACAGCAACGTTGAACGGTCCCCACTCCGTCGGGCAGTCTGCATTCGGGGCTACCAATACCACTCGCGATTCGTTCCTCAATTATTTCTTTGGCAAGGATGGTGTGCAGACCTCTGGACCGCCTCCCCAGCCTCCAAGCCAAGCCCGGCAGCTTAATCACCCCAGTGATCCCACAGTCAGTCAAAGCATCCGACGGGGTGATATTCGCTCCCCCGTGCTGTCGCCGGAGGAGTTCATCAACCCACCAGACTATGGGAACGACCTTACCTCCCTTGTAAGTCAACACCCTTTCGACTTATTATTAGAAGTGAACTGGGCTAATTTCAACCCAAAGGAGAACCCAGAGCCGGCTGTATCCGATCGTGAAATGCTGGAGACAGAGCTTATCCGGCGGTTGATATCTTCCTATTTCGATATAGTCAGGGAGACTATCGCCGATCAAGTTCCCAAGGCCATCATGCACCTTCTTGTCAACCACAGTAAGGATGTTGTACAGAACCGTCTTGTAAGTGAGCTTTATAAGGAAGATCTCTTCGCCGAACTGCTGTACGAAGATGATGGCATCAAGGCAGAAAGGGAGAAGTGTGAGAGACTCCTAGAAACTTACAAGGAGGCGGCGAAGATTGTCGGCGAAGTCTTGTAAGATATGATGCTCTTGCTGTGTTCATTTGCTACAGGGCGGTTGGACGCTCCGGTTAACACAAGGAGTTCGAAAATGTGTTCTTGTTCCTGTACATTAAAGTATAGATCTTGAACTTGGAAGAAGAGGGATATGTTTGTACTTATATTTCCTTTCAGAATTATCTTAATTCCATTTTTATGTCTCAGCAGCAAAACCATCCTGTATATATCAGACTAAGAAATCCACGATGCTAAACTCATGCCGATCCAACGGCCAATGGACTTTTGATTCCCCAGGTTGCCACTATTCATAGAGTGAAGTATGCCTATATGAATGGGGATATTTACAACGTGTCTGATGCTTTACTCTATATCCAACCAAACATAATATAGCATACAATGTTCAAGTGAGCACCGATGGAAAAAAAAAACCCCCACTGACAATAATGAAAACGCCATCTGTGGAACGCAGTGTTATAACGCTCATTCTTTCTTGAGAGCTTTCCTTGGTCGTGTACCCGCAAGGCCATATAACGCACCACCCACGAAAACAAAAATTGCCCCAATCGACACCCCAGACGTAAGATCATTGCCAAACAGATAGATGGATAATAGAAGAGACACAAGTTTTCGGATGTTCAGGACTATTGTCACTGTCAAGGAGGACGATTTGGCAGAGAGCAGATGCACTCCACGGATACACAGGTATTGGGTCAGTGCATTGAGGATCAGGAAGACCACTTGCGCAGGGGTAGAGACCAGAATTGACTGGATGCTGTCATTGTTTCGGAGCACTTCGAAGAGGCGCAACG